CAGTTACGAACGGGGCCCTCTCCCTGGTCTCCAGCAGACCAGGGAGAGGAAGCAAAGCGGCGGAGCACGCGGGCAGTGGACAGCCCAGACGCGTCTGGGCTGTCCGCTGCCCGCGTGCTCCGCCGCTTTGCTTCCTCTCCCTGGTCTGCTGGAGACCAGGGAGAGGGCCCCGTTTGTAACTGCGGATCCGACATAAGTCGGATCCGCGTAACTTGGGGACTACCTGTAGTTATTACTGCATGTTATACAAAATTCATGAAATTTAAATGTCTGAAGTAGCTTGACATCTTCCCTGTCCTGTGCTTTATTTCCTTCTCTCCAGAACATTAATATACTGACCTTCCCAAACACAAAATAGGAAGAATGAACTTCTTCAGCGTTTCTCAGCAACAACATTTCAGGGTTGTTTTTCTTGAGCAGTTTTTCCTAAAGTACTGACTTTTTACATAAAATTAAACTTAGGGCAATTTGTAAGTTATTGGAGCCAATCATTTTAGTTTGACGGGAGAGCTGAACATTCTTTCAAAATTATCGAAGGCCGCAATCGTCACTTTTGGCCAGGTTCTGTGTCCATTTTCACTCCTTATGCATTGCTTAGACCATGCAAAGGGAATGGAAACTGCCCACAAGTCTCCTGCCTGGAGTCCTTCAACACAGGTGAGAACCCAAAAGGTATGGAACTCCTCAGCTCTTTAGATATCTCCAATTGGAAGATTATTTTCCTCTTAGACTTCATGTATTTTGAAAAATTGTAGTAAACAGAATTTTTAGAAAGCTACAGCGATAAAGATCAGCATTAGCTTTAAAAGATGTGTCATATAGCTAATATTCCTGTGGGTCTTGGATAGCAACTGTGTCGTATATTTTGGCATAAGAAAAAATGTTTATAACCTTCATATTAAAGATTCAAATATCCTCCTATATTTCAGGGTCGAGATCTAGATTGCAAAATTCAAGAATACAAAAAAGCTGGGAAAATATTCACTGAAAGCCAGATAATAGAATGGTTTATACAGTTGTTGCTTGGAGTCAACTATATGCATGAAAGGTACAGTAATTTACTTTAATATGGAAACATTTGTGATATAACAGAGCAGACTTATACCTAATATTCAAATTGAAATGTAATTGCTATTTTTCTTTGATATAAAGCCCTATACAACCATTCTGAATTAATATACTGTGTGCAGTGGAACCAATAGCCTCACTGGGCCCTGTAAGGGGTGGGGCCCCGGTACCACTCTCATAGCGCAAGGCATCGATTGGCAGTGTGATGTCACTGATCCCCCAACACAGCTGGTCTTTGTTTTTCCATACCAGAGATTCCTCCCACTCTGAGCACTTGGTCTTGAGGTGCAGTGGTCGGCGATAGGTCATCAATCCGCCAATTCCTAGTCACTGGCTATTGTTCGATCACCACTTGGCTCTGAACAACCATTGCTGATGCCAGGCCAAGACCCCACTCTGATGGTGTCATTGGCACTACAAACCTCCTCATGGTCTCAAAGTCAGTGGTCAGCAGACTTGTACTCTTAAAACCAATGGTGGTTCATGCAGCCATCTCAACCCACATGTTTGATAGTGGAGGACATCGGCGACAGCATCACATCTTCAGCTTGAGGAAGAAGTTCTGGAGGAGACCATGCCTCATGCCTATGAACAACCCAATATCGGACCACCCAGAGAGATGGGAGCACCCATGGTACTGGTTTTGTCCTCATTGTCACTGGGCAAGGCCATTTTGACTCCCCCCTCATCCAGTTCTGCCAAATGATGGCAAGGTTCATCAGGAGCTGCTATAGAGAGTTGTACTGAATCTGGACCTCCAGGAAAAGGAATTGGAGGCACCATTGGACTCCCTTTCCTGTGTTCTTAGCTCTATAGCACCAGCAAGGGTGGCATTGTCCCTACATGAAGGAGATTTGAAAATAATAATTGCCTTGTGGAAAATCTCCTCTTCCCTGCCCCTATCTCGAAAAGAGCTGAACAAAATCACTTTGTTCCAGGTAAAGGAAATGAGTACCTCTATACCCACCCAGCTCCTATTTCCCTCACTGTGGAAGCCATCAGCTAAAGGGATAGGTGGGGCCAGTCTAGACGTACCCCTGCAGAATAGGAACTCCAAAAGACTGGATTTATTTGTGTGAAAAATGTATTTGTCTTCCAGCTCACACTTTGGAGTGGCTAACCACCAACCCTTCCTTGGCCATTATGATTAGAATATGTGGCAGACCATAGTCAGGTTCAAGACATTATTCTCTGAAGGTTCCAGGCAGCCTTGAAAAGATCATGGTAGTGGCAAGAGTGGTCCTTCAGGCAGCTTTGGACACAGCTGATTTGGCGGCTGTAATTCTATGCAGTGAGCTTCCTGGCTGCTCCTCCCCAGCCTAACGACTGAAGCTCGGCAGTTGATGCAGGACTTTTCTTTTTATGGGCAGGCTGTGTTTGCAGAGTACAAATAGTAAGCGTGTGGCAGTTTGTCTGACCCGGGGTCCCTCCTCTAAGTCCGGGTGGGCCCTGCAAACCCTGTCCTGCCCAGCGTCCTGCCCGAAATCCCGAGAGTCAATTACTTCACTGTAGTAGTAAGGTTTTTATGCTCAGCCTGGTACCACCAGTCGGTTCGGGGCCTGTCCTCCTTGTCGCTCCCGGGGGGGAGACCCGGTCCCTCCCTCCCTCTCCCAGGGGCCCTAAGGAGCAAGGGTCTGTTTTGCCCTTACTCGGCTGATGGGGCATTTCCCTGGAACTCAACAGCCCACGGCTGCCAATGCCACCCTTCCCTGGGCTGCTTCCTGTCCCCCCCTGTGTCTTGAAACTCCCGTGTTCTGCCTGGGGAACCTACCGCCTCTTGCCCGTGTCCTGCTTCTCCATCCAAAGGGCAGTCTCTAGATTGCCACTGCCGGTTTCCTCCATCTCTGGAAGGGGGGCCACTCGCCGCATCCCCCGGAGTCTCTCTACACTCCCGGTGCCCCTCCTCTCAGCAGTGGTTGGTTCTCTTTTGAACATCGCCACAGTCGGCCACAGCCTCACGGTGCCCCACCCCCACCTGTGTTCCGCCCTCCAGGCCGTGCCCCACCCTCTCGCATCAGGGCCGCACACAGGCGGCCCAGCTTCATGGGCCGCTGCGCCTTCCTCCTCCTTGCGCCGTTCTGCCCCCTCCAAGTGGGACAGTGGCCGGCGACGCACCAGCCTCAGTGCGGGCTCCTGTGAGCCCGTGACAAGCACCATAGCCTAAAGGACTCCTTCACAACTCTAAAAATCTTGGGGATGTATGTCTCTGCCCAAACCTCTAAGTGATTTAAGGCTCCAAAATCTCAGAGTCAGGGGAGCCAACAAGAGCCCCTTTCCAAGAAAAGCAAGGGCAACAAGTGATGCTGAAACCAGCTTCCATCATCCTCCACTCAGTCGGGCTCAACCCACGCTAAGCAAGATAAATAATATGGCATTGATGTTTTACATCAACAAGCAAAGGGGAATGCACTCAATGGCCCTCTGTCAAGCCTATGGACTTTGCTGTGTCATGCTTGAATTGTTAATCAGAAGCTGGTTGTTTTCACAGTTCTCCATCAGCAGCATTTTGTTTTTACAGCTACTTTCCATCTCCTTTTCTTGTATCATGTCTTAATTTAGAGTAGATGCCTTTTTGCACTTCAGGGTAGTCAGTCTGCACTCTCCATCTGGCCATCAGGGTCTCAGCACAAGGTTGCTGGGGTCTTACTTTTTCACTTCCTCGTTTGTAATTTTCTGGCATCTTTTCTCTTATCTACTCACATTGCATACCTACCTTGTTCTCTCAAAGAACAGTGCAATGATTTCAGAAACAAACCTCTAATAGGACAGACAACTCTAGTAGAACAGAACAAAGCAATTTCCAATATTACTGCATCAGTAAAGAATATTGATCAAAGCAATTCCATCAAGTAAACTTATGCTACAGGATAAAACAATTGCAACCTATCTAAATCAATTTTACCATACATGTCTACATACAATTGCTCCCAGTAATGTGCAGACAGTCGAAATCCTGTTTGGATTAGATTTGCTTTGAACAAAGTTAGCCACCATGTGATGTTTTATGCAGCCATTTCCCACTAGCATAGTACCAAAATGGACAGTAATTTCTGGTATACAAACCCTGGTGGTGCAAATAGTTCTCCCACTTTCAGTGCACTAACTAGACACTGCTTAAGTGGCTTGTCTGGTCCCACTTTTCACATTTTACTACCCAGGGGTCAAGTTTGACCTAGAAGGGACTGGTTGCATGCTTAAAGTCAAGCATGTGCTAAAGTGCTTTGCTGGATCAGGACCCAAGCACTCAGCATCTTGCAGGATTGATCCCTAGGAGAGCAGACAGGAGTCTAAATTTCAGTATCTTCCCTTTTTTTCTTTTTTTATCAGTTATTTGTGGCCATCAGCAGCAGTGAAAACCATGGTGATGAACATGATATACTCTACTACAGATTGAACCTCCCAGATCCAGGACTCTCTGGTCTGGCAACATCTGTGGTCTGCCAGGGCCATGGATGTTGCTAGACCAAAGAGCTCTGGAGGCCAGGAGTGGGAGAACCAGGGATTGGGGAGTCCCAGCTGGGCCAACAGCAAATAGGCTGGGGAACCCCAGTGGCAGCAGGACCAGGCAGGGCTGGGGAACCCTCAGTGACAGTGGGGCCAGGCGGAGAGCGGGGAGCCTTGTCCCTGGCAAGGGACTCTTCAGTGGCAGCGGGGTCAGGTGGCAGCCAGGAAGCCCTGGCAGGGGAATCCCAGCGGCAGTGAGGCCAGTGTTGGCCTGGTGGCCCAGGGCTGGGAAAACCTGGGGTACCCCCCCAGTGGCAGGGTGTCCTGACAGGGAAATCCTGGGAACCCTTCACAGCAGCAGGGCCAGCAGCAGCCAGGTGGTCCTGGCCAGAAACCCCGAGAAACCCTGGCAGCAGCAGGCAAGCAGCAGGATGTGTAGAGCCCCATCCAGGCTAGCATTGGGAGCCCCAGGGAGAGAAACTGGCAGCAGGGCAGCTAGCTGGGGATCATTGACCTCCCCTGGTCCGGCAAACTCCCTGGTCTGTGACCGCTCAGGCAAAAGCCTCAGAGGCGCGGGACCCCCCTGCGGCTGCGGCTTCAGTCCGGGAGCCTGTGGTCTGCTGCGGCATCTGTTTCCCTCTTCACTGGAGTTGAGGGTTTACATATCCACATGTAGTTAGATCTGGAAGCACAGGAAACAGGAAGGAGGGGGGAGGAGATGAGCCAGGCTGAATGAGAGCTACAGAGGGGAGCAGCAGCAGCATTGTAAAGAGGTTTCACCTTTGGTAAGTAAAGGCCTGTTGAAGTTTGTTAATAACTTGCTTGCATGATAGTTTGTTACTACCTTGCTTGCATGATACAATAAACAGGAATATTCATAATCAATTCATTCAATTTCACAACAAAATGAGAACTTTTTGTATGAATGAGAACTTTTTGTTCTGGAGCAGTTAAATTGCATACATCTATCTACATAGCTGAGCATGTGCTTACAGCTTAGCTGAAATTACTGGTTCAGTATTTGAAAATTCTGTTTTCAAAAGAATATGTTTTTGCTATCTTGAAAGATTTTTGCAATGACAGTGCAGCTCAGAAAGATTAGAAATGTTTGTCTTTTCTTGTGCCTCATAAATCTCAAAGGATATAATTATCTCATGGTGACCATACCACCTACTATGTATTGTACATAACGGGATGGGTTTTTTGGATTTGAACTTGACAGCTAAATTGTCTAGAATAAATGGATGCACATCTTATCTATCATTAGCATAATAGAAGAGAGAATAATGGTTTGCAGTGCTTAGGTTAGAGGAAGTTAGTGTGCTAACCACTGTTTGGTCTAGCAGTTGGAACACTTTGCATGTCCACATGGAAGATTGCTTTTAACACCATCAAGGCAGTCACACCATTGCTGAGATTTCTTTTGAGAAAAGATAACTACTATGTGATCCTTAACCTTGGTAATTTCCACTAGAGCAATTTCAAAATCAAGTGATTTTGGTATAGTAGCTTTAGTAGTGCAAAACTACCATCTCACAGCACACAAGACACTGCCTAGATTGCTTTTCTGTTATTTCTGCCTTCTACTGCAGAAGAGTCAAGTTTACCGGAAGCCACTTACTTCTACAAGTAATTTTGTCACACGCTGTTCAAATTAGTTCCATAATATTTTCACAGCAGTAAACTTCATTCTGTTTCAGTTGGTAGCATATGGCAGAGGAAGCCTTATTCATCATGAGTGAAGCATGTTGAAAAATGTTCTTCCATATCTTGTATGAACATAGATTATTTCTGTCTACTGCACCTTGATAGCGGGTACTTTTATAGGTCAAGTAAGGATCAAGTGTACTTCTGTTGTACATAGATATGGATACATTTATTATAATATCTTTAATAACTAAATTTAACCTTATTTAAAACCCACGCTTTGGAATCCAAATCCTGACCAGAAATCAGTGTCCTGTTATTTACTTCAGAGTTTCTTTGTAATGTCTAGTAATGTGATAAAATCTGAACAAAGTGAGACATTTTATATGAAAATGAGGATGGATGCATATGTGAAATAATGATTCATATCACTTTAAATAGCTTAATGTTCCTTGCTAATTTAATGCTTGACAAATTCACGTGTGTTGCTTTAAAAAGTTGCTATTATAAGTTTATTTCATCTGTTTATTTAGAAACTTTGGTAAATACCCATTGCATAATCCATTGATATTTCATTCTCATCTCTTAATGCAGTATAGAAACAAATTGTTTAACTATTATCCTTGAGGACAAGAACTGGAAGAAGTAGTTGAAATATTAAAATACTATTTTTTATATTATTTTTTACATTTCACTAAGCATAAAGACTCATTTTTCAATCTGCAGTTTATAAATCTACAATAATGCTTTCTGTTAGGTATTAATTACTTTCCTATGAGATGTGGACTAAATTAAATGATGCATCAGAAGTTAGTTTCAATATACAAAACATTTTAGAAATCACAACAGTATTTCTGTACAGAAAACTTTAAAAATTCCAGGAAAAACAGAGCAATATTTGAAGACAGTGGAACAACAACTATAGTCAGCTACCATATTTGATTGTACTGCTTACCCCCTAAAGATGCTAGAGCCCCTAGTGCTCTCTATCTCTAGTAAATGGTTGAAGAATTGGTCTCAGTGCAGTACCAGTAATAGTAGGTGTTGTAGACTGTTGTTAACTCTATTCATAAGAAGATTATCAGCTGAAAGAACACTGTTGCATATGCTCCAGGAATCAGTGATTTAAAAAGTGAGTAAGGTAAGACCCAGGTGGGATGATGGGATATGAGGGAGTCTTATGGGGGTAATTTTACAAAAATTCCTTGAGCCTTTTTTTTAAAATATAATATAGATGGTAGTGCTTTATTATTATTATTTTACTCTGGAGGGGAGGAAGATAAGGATGTCATGGGTCAAAATTTCAAAAAGTTGAGAAAATATGGTTACACACAGCACTACTCATGGTTTATGGTGCCATGTTAATCCTTGAGGAACAGCTTGGTTAAAACTGATTAGAGAGAGAGAATATAGATATATTTTGTTTTTTCAAGTAACACTTTTTCCCCTTGAGAGTGGGTTCTCAGATCTGTGACAATCTCCCACTTTTTAATTTCTCTATTCTGAAGTATGTTATGATGATGATTATCCTTCTGGCAGATGACAAAACATAGCTCCCTTCAGAGCAACCAGATGGGTAAAAAGATCAACAGATTTTGTTCCCTTCCCTCAAAAGCTGAATATCTTGCCTCTGCAGCTCACCTAATTCCTTACATCAAAGGACTTGAGTGCTTGTCTCAAATGGAAATGGCAATACCTGAATTTATGTGTTTTATGCTATGTACCTAGTTCCTTATCCTGTAAATAACTGCATTTTTGCACCAGAAGGAGCCCCACTGAGGGCAATGAACTAAAGTGCAGGGATGGGCCAGTGTACTGAGAGTTCAGGACAGAGGCATGTAAATTAGACTAGCCAACATAGTCAATGAAGCGGGGATTTAAATATCCCCCGCTTCATTAAAATAAAAATGGCCACTGCACTGTGCCAGCACAGCTGATAGTCGGCACAACGCGGCAGTCAAGACACAGATCGGTCGACAAGAAAAGCCTTGGCTGACCAATCCCTTATTCCTGGTGAAATGAGGTTTACAGGATTGGTCGGCAAAGGCTTTCCTTACTGACTAATCTGCATTTTGACTGCTGCATTGTGCCAACGATCAGCTGAGCTGGCACAGTGCGGCGGTCATTTTTATTTTAATGAAGCGGGGGATATTTAAATCCCCGCTTCATTGACTATGTCGGCTAGTCTAATTTACATGTCTCTGTTGGCAGAGGCATGTAGTCTAGACATACCCTGGGTCTCTAGTCTGTCAGGCTGTCCTTTAGTAGTGTAGTACTATTGAAATAAGTGGCTGGGTTACTGTGTTTGACTATAATTTTTCCAAATCTGATGAAATTGAATCCCTCCTTTGTGTTTCAGGCGAATACTTCACAGGGATTTAAAAGCCAAGAATATTTTTTTGAAAAATAACCTTCTTAAAATTGGTAAGATTACTTACTTTCTTAGATGATTTTTAGTACTATTTAAAATTCCAACAAAAATGTTAAAAAGATGTAGATTTAAATTCGATGGTACAGGTAGTCCCTGAGGCACGAACGCATCGATTTACAACCGTTCATCCTTATGACCAACCTCCCACTAAGCAGCCCCGAGTTACAAACGTGATCCGCACTTACGAACAGTGCGGTCCCATTGAAATGAATGGTCTCCAACTTATGAACAGATTGAGTTACGACCAAGTGCTTGGTATATAACTTGTTCATAAGTTGGGGACTACCTGTATGGTATTTAGGGGCATCTAAAACACTATGTCATTTCTGTAGTATATTTCTAAAAGTATGGTAAAATTTAGTTTAGTCTATGGCTTTTTAACTTGGGTATTTCAACTTTCAGTGCACAAACAGTTGGGTGGGGAAAGGATATTTTAAGGCATTTGTAGTGGAGTCCTTGCTCAGGTCCCTTGGGCTAGTACACCGGCTGGTCCACAAATCAGTCACAAGCCTTCTGATGCAAACACCAGTGCCTTTATTGTAGGTTCGAACCATCTTCTATTTACAACATTTTACAGTCCAGACAGCCAACTCCTCTCTGTCCACCTAGGAGCACACTGAGCCACGCCCAGGCTCCTTACTCCTCCTTCCCCTCTGGCTTCCTTCCTCTGCCTTATATAGCTCTCCTCCTGTGAGCCCCAGAGCTGCTTCTGATAGCCCTGCCGGCCTGGGCTTGCTCAGCTGTTTCCCCTTAATCAGGCTACTGTGTCAGAGCTCTGGCTTAGCCAGCATCTGTCACAGCATTACTTTACTTCGAACCTGATCAAGACTTGAGAAACTATGTATATCTTTTCTATAGGGGTATGTCTAGACTACATGGCTCTGTAGCCAGAGCCATGTAGATTAGTTTACTAGACATACCCAAATGAAGCGGCGATTTAAATAATTGCTGCTTCATTTAAATGAAAATGGCTGCCGTGCTGAGCCGATCAGCTGTTTGTCGGCTCAGCGCGCTGGTCTGGATGCTCCGTGGTCGACATCAAAGACATTTGTTGACCGCTCTGGTAAACCTCATCCCACGAGGCATAATGGGGTGGTCGACAAATGCCTTTGATGTCGACTGCGGAGTGCCCAGACTAGTGCGCTGAGCCGACAAACAGCTGATCGGCTCAGCACGTCAGCCATTTTAATTTAAATGAAGCAGCAATTATGTAAATCGCCACTTCATTTGGGTATGTCTAGTAAACTAATCGACATGGCTCTGTCACCAGAGCCATGTAGTCTAGACATACCCTAAGTGTTTCACGACCAATTGATGTTTCTCCATGCTTTAAAAATCATTGCAAGTTTTTTTTGTAAAATCATTTTTATGTCTCTTTATGACCATTCACTATAGATCAATGTTTCTGAAAGTGTACCGCAGAAATCCTTTTGGAAACACTATAACTGACCGCCCCAGTTGGTTTATGTACTGGTGCCACGGCCACGGAGCCTCGCGGTTCTCATTGGCTCCATTTCGTCCTTTGCAGCCCAGGGCAGCTGCGGGAAGCAGCATGGGCCAGGCCACCGCTTCCCGTCACTCCCCTTGGCTGCAAAGGATGAAATGGAACCAATGGGAGCCGCGAGGCTCTGTGGCCACGGCGCTGGTACATAAACAACCCGGGGCAGCCAGTTAAAGTGTTTCTGAAAGTGTTTCCATGGTACACTTTCAGAAACACTTATCTAGATAGATAAATTGTGCATATAATTTAATCTCCAGCCTTTTCTAATGATTATTGGTGGGTTTAATCCTGTTCCCAAATCCACTCTAGATTTACTGTTCTTTATATAAATGGCTTCTTTTTCCTTTCAAATGAAATATTTTAGGAACATATTGCCAAGTCATGACATGAGAACTGAGAAAAATCTGAACTGTTATTTTTACAATATGCAGTTGTCTTGTTTTAAAAAACTGCACATTATTAACATTAAAAAGATAATGCCCTTTTCAAAATCTTTTCTGATGAAAATGTTTATTATACAAAAAAGAAAAAACTGGTTTATAAGTGCATATGTTCATGCACTACATCTGTTTTATTCTTCCATGTAAAGGGGATAGGTGTACTGACTCTTTTAATTAGTATGTTTATGTCAATCACAGCCACACTGCTAGTTAAATTTGTTAGTAATTTTTAAAATAATTCTAAGCATTCTTTTATATAACTGCCATGGTTATGAAAGGTTCCAAACTGATATTGTGGCAATCTGATCTAAATTAACCTCTGATTTTCTACTGCACCCATCACCATGGTGACTAGGTGTCAAAATCCTCTACTTAAAAGGGACAGCATACATAGGCATCAGCAGTGTAAAATTCTTCACACAGCTTGAACAATATGCTTTGGCCTTGAACTGTAGGAGTCACCTCAGCAGGGGAGACAGTTCATTCTCCAGTCCCTTTCAATCCTTAGCATCTCTGCTGAGAGTAAAACCAAGGTTGCCCATTATTAGTGCTGCTTTCTGTGAGATGGATGGACATTAATCCCTGGGGGAACGTACTGACTCTGTCACATCAATTTAAACTAGACCAGACAGCCGTAAAATGGAAAAAAAACCCACTTCTGTTTACTATTAGCTTGCCTTTGAATTAACACTGTAGAAGTGAAAAGTTCTGTATCCCATTACCAATATTCTGAGCCATTCAGTTACCCCAGTATATGTGTTTCAAGAGGTAGATCCTTGCTGTTAAGTGCCTTAGTTTCACTTATTTCAACAGAGTTATGACAATCCCCAGCAGCTGAAGATCTGGCACCAAATTTTTAAAATAATTTTAAATTATAAAATGTTATATTAAACCTACTCAAAGTAAGCTTAGAGTTCTTGGTTTGATTTTTAGTCTAGATTTTCTTACCTAACTAGTATTTGTACAATTTTATATTAAGGGGACTTCGGAGTTTCTCGTCTCTTGATGGGATCATGTGATCTGGCAACTACATTTACTGGGACACCTTACTACATGAGTCCAGAGGCATTGAAACATCAAGGTTATGACACAAAATCTGACATTTGGTAAGTGGGCAACATGCTGTTTGAGCTGGAGTATTCATTTCTTTGTAATGAATAAATCAATTAAAATGCTTTAGTTTTCTAGGTCATCATCTATTTACTTGTATTATGGCTCACTGTTTTTTTCTTTAACAAATTTATTTGCATACAAAAGGAGCCAGGGCCACCTGGTTAGAATACTTGCACTGCTCTGTTAGAACTATTCCAAGGCATGTATTTCAGTTCCTAGCTATTTTGCTATGTGGAGCTTTGTTCCTCATATTGTCATAGGATGAGCTGAGCCTTTAAGGAAAAAAATCAGGTGCAGACTGTGACTGTACCTATATTTTCTGTCAGGCCAAGGGACATGGTGAAGAAGGGTCAGGTGATTAGGGAACAGGAGCAAGGCCTGCTGGGAAATAGGAGACAAGTTAAAAGACAGGTTCCATTCCTTGGTGAGATAAATAAGAGGAGAGCAGCAGCTTGATGTTAGGCTTTCCAGTGACTGGGATCTAGGAAAGGTTCCCCTTGCAAGGGAACCAAGAAGATCCTAAGACAGTGAGAAGTGGTCCTGGGAACCAAGAAATAGACCTTTGGAGTGTGAGGACAGTCTGATGCTTTCCAGCAAGGGGTGCCAGGGTCAGATCCCAGAGTGGTGGCAGAGCCTGGGCAAACCTATTGTGCCACTTAGAAGTGATTGAAAAAACCCAATGACCAAGATTGAAGAGCCTTGTGAGCCCCTGGGATAAAAGGCAAAAGACCAACTTGAGATACCTGAGTCCAAGTGATGAAGGACTTTGACTAACGGATTTGTAGGAATCCCTGCAGACAAAGGAAAATGGTTTTGGATTTGGCTTGTGGACTTTTATTTGCCCTGGAATGGTAGGACTGTAGCTTTGGCCAAATCACCATACCAGCCCAAGTAAAACCAGAGGAGGAGGGAAACTCAGGTACAATGGGGAAACAGAGTCAGTGGCACAAACTTGACATGTGATAGATAAGCACACCATCACAGTCATCTGTCTTAGTCAAAAGTTTATAATTTTCCTACTATTCTAAAAGTATTTGTAAGTGACCTCCTTTCTAAAATGTCTCATTACCGTCCCAAAGATTGTAGTATTTCTTTTAAAAAGGGACTTGGTTTTTTGTGGGAAAGTATATCTGAGTGTTCCTTTTTTCTTTTAATATTCCAAATCAGGAAATTCTATGTAGAAAGAGTTTGAACCCTGGATTTCTATTTTATTACTGTATTAATTGAGATCTCTGAAGATTTCCACCATCTTTTGCTCCAGTCCTTCTCCTCGTATATATTGGTGGTACCTTAGGGCAGTTCTAAATATTGAAAGCAGATAGCTAAACTTTAAACACCAGTAACACTTACCATTATTCCCCAATGATATATTGTAGTATTCAGCATGTGTCAGGGGATGAGTCAGAAATGTTGTCTCATGCTTCCTGTAAATTAACTGAAATAGATTTTATGTCTGATTCTCTACTGTTAATATGGGTCCAACGCTATGAAAGTGTCATACCATTCAATAAAAAATATTGAGCGGGATTTCAAAAGATGGGGGAGCAAGTCATTTAGCATGCAGGGAAATCCTTTTCAAGCCATACTTATACTTGTTGTTGCTGACTTGCCATAAGAAGTATTTTATTTTCTTGCAGTATGAGCAGTTTTATGAGTCCAGCTTTTTATACAGTAAATGTGAAGAAAGTTGGACAAATTCTGTTTATAGTTACATCTATGCAATCTCAGTGATATTATTGGGGTTGTTGAAGACTAAATGAGAGCAGAACTTGGTTCAGTATAGTAATATAGTATCTGTTTGCTTATTCTTCCTTAATGTAAAGAACCAAACCACACAAAATGGAACTATCACAAGTAGTACCTTTTTCTAGACCTTATATTTCTAATACTAGCCAACTAGCCTGTCATAAGATGGGATTTTCAGGTCTTCTCTCCTGAGCGCACGCTTTCTCTCTCTCAGTTTCTCGCTCTCTCCTACTCCCTACCCCCTCTCTCTCAGCTGTCCCCCGCCTCCTGCCTCTCCGTCTCTTTCTTTCTCTTCTCCCCCTCCTGCCTCTCCCTTTCTCTTCTCCTCCTCCTCCTGCCTCTCCCTCCCCGCTGTCTTTCCCTGCCCCCCCTTTCCCCTTCCCTCCCGCCGTGGCACTTGGCTGAGTGATGCCTGCTCAGCTGGGCTGCCGCAAGGGAGGGGAGCGGGGCCGTGACGTACACGGCCGGGGCC